TATTATACTCCGAGATTATCAATTTTTTTGCAGTCTGCTTTATACGGAAAAATATCATATTAGGTGGTTTCTGAAATGGCATCCTTTTCTTGCACTTACTTTACATCGTTTAACTAGGTTTTGATAATTTCTGCGTTATTTCAGGCCCCGATATATGCTGTTCTTCTTCTTGGAGTGAGTTTATTTATGTCTTCTCTCACCTTCGCTTTTTTGTTTGGTAAAGTACAATAAGAATGTTCCGGCTTATGAGATCAACTTTAGTGGTTATTGCTAAACATCTTCTGGCTTCATATTGTTAGATTCCTCGTAAGCACGTGCTTATTTAAAATTGCTGATCACTGACAAAATCCGAAATTGTGAGTAAAGAGATGGGTAAGACATCGTTTTAATTGAGTGGATAAGTATTTGAGGGAGGGAGGAAGCAGCATAGTCATTTTGCCCATGCAGACACCAGCAAACTTTCCGTCGCACAGGCCGCCATTGGTAGAAATCGCGCTGCGAAATATTCCTTAGATGCCCCGACCCACTCATCTCCCTCCTTCACAGCCACAGTCTTCAGAAGACCGCTTTGCTTCCTTGAGCTCATCTGCCAAATAGAATGCTTCAGCCTGTAGCTGCTACATAATTTTCTATGGGTTAGCTGATGAGTAGCTCTCTTGGATTTGCGTCTGCCTTTTTTGACAGAGATATCTATGAATTTTGTGCTGAAAATATCCATTGTACAGATCTATGCTTTGGGATCAGTGGTCTATGGCGTTGCGACGTTTAACGATTGCCCAACTGCTAAAGAGGAGCTAGTACAAGTTCGGGACCTATGGAGCTTCAGAGGACGGTGGGAATATAGTATATAAACAGCGCTCGAGGTCACCACAAAAATAACTGTTCATAAACATCCAGGATTCACTCGTGAGTTAAGATGAAAAGTAGGCAACTCCAAACCATAGAAACGGAGTCGGGACTTCCGCCGTTATGTTGCGACCTAGTTCTCAACGAGGAATCTGGAAGCTTTTGAAGCTGACTTTCAGCCCTCTGTCCTTCACTCTCTTCACGGAGGGTGATGTGAGACCGGCCCTGGATGACCTTCTGACCCAGAAAGAAAGTCATGACGGAAATTAAGAAATGAAAGGCGAAAGAGCTGGAAGAGAGAGCGCGCCGACAAGTTCGCTCCAAGGGAGTGCGAGCGGTAGTGGTGTGTGTTGGGAGGACGGGCGCGCCATTCACAATTAAGAGAAACAGCCACCCCCATGAAGGACCACCCGTCTCGGTCACGCGGGTAGCAATTCAATTTGGGGAGCATTCTCGCACGACTTGGAACTGAGAGCTAACCCAGTCTTGGAGTCGATCCAAGAAGGAATCGGGAATGCGCCCTGGCATCTCCTATGCATGACGCCGGCCGCCTTCGCTATCTGCCCAAAGCCGATTCCGCCGCCTAACGACCAGATATCATTTCCATTTCCGGCTAGATATCCGCATAAGGGCTCAGCAGCTCGGCGGCAGACACCCGAACAAACGCCTAAATCAACGCCTCTTGCGCTTCGTCTCAGCACTTCAAAGCAACATAATCACCACGATGATCGCCTGGGAGTTTCTCGCTGGCACTAAAGGGCACTACATGTACCGCTGAATGAAATTCCTTCAGCACTTGCCTAGGAAAAAAGTTAATCTAGAATCTAGAGCAAGAAAAGGCACACGTTCAAATCTCATGGAAGACACTACAAAAGCCTTACCATCTTTATTGCAATCAAGTGGCTACCTAAAAATCAAGTGAGTAACTCAGCAAATCAAAGAAAATTACTAGTCAGTAGGGCACACCGTGAACGTCAAGGTAGTTGAATGCGTTCAGGCTCGCGAAATGTAATAGGGATCGGCTGTTCATGTTCGCCGAGAGTGTGCCATATTAAGAGTCCACAGCCGCTTGATATTTGGGCTTTTTCCTGAATATTTCGTTGTGAAATAATAAAAAGCGTAGCTTGAAGATTTGCCGTTGATCAATCCCTTTTTGGGATGCGGCACGCATTCTACTTCCATTTGTACATTCGTAGTGGCGTTTGAATGCGATGTGGCCTATACAATGACTTGCGGGGGCCAGCCGATGTACAAGTCAGTGTTTTTATCCTCCCACAAGTCTGGTACCAATTAACCGACCCCGGAGGGATGGAAGGCTTGGTTGGCCCGGGCGACTCACGACCCAGGATTTGATCCCCGGACCGCTCACGTTGTAAGCGTGCCGCTTGCCACTACACCACACAGCCACCAATTTTTTTTTTGAATGCCGTGTGAGGCTTTTCAAAGAGTTGTCGAAGAAAGATGTTTTAAATATCATGAATGGTGAGAGTATCACATCAAAGCAACGATTTGCGATCGAATCAATCCCTTCCCACCTAAAATAAGAAAAGTGGAAAGGACCTTGACGTGAATGATCTCAAAAGCATAAAACATAAGACAATTCTGGCTCAGGATCTCCTTTCTGCGAAGTCTCCTAATTCCCGGTATAAGAAAGAGAGACACATGTGAAAGAAAATGCCCGAAGAATTCGCATGAAGAGGGCAGATATTGCGTATACTACAACAGCAAATTATCACGCCTCGAAGACGGTCAGGCATATACTAACCAGGAAGGTCTTTCAGGGCGTGCTCAAGCTTTTTGAAAACGGTCTTTTGCATGATATAGGGGCACATGCGGGACCACAGAACCATGGTTCATTTTTCCTGAACGGCCTCTGAATACCAGAAAAGGGGTCCCTAGTTCGATTCCTCGTGGTGACAAAATTTTGCATTTCGAGTTGACGTTTCAAAATTCGCGCAAAATGGAGTTAGCATGAATAATTAGTACCATATTCATGATTAGGACCGTCAGTAACCCTTACAAATAGACTTTGATTGAAAAAGGGGTGAAAAAGGTGTGTGAGAAACTCCTTACCAATTTTTAAGTCAAAGTCTTTTTAGGTTACTGACGGCCCTAATCATGAATATGGTACTAATTATTCATGCTAACTCCATTTTGCGCGAATTTTGGAACGTCAACTCGAAATGCAAAAATTTGTCACCAAGAGGAATCGAACTAGGGACCCCTTTTCTGGTATTCAGAGGGCCGTTCAGGAAAAATTAAACATGGTTCTGTGGTTCCCGCATCTGCCCCTATATCATGCAAAAGACCGTTTTCAAAAAGCTTGTCACGCCCTGAAAGACCTTCCTGGTCAGAACTGGGCATGTCTTATGAGGATGC